CCCCCAACTGAAAATTTATGGTTGTGCCCCCTCAAAGAGAAATTGCTTTCTACGGGCCTGTGAATTTCTCGTACTGTAACTTGATGATTTACAACGCAAATTTTGGATTATATCAGTTAGATATTCAGAAACTTGGTTATTATAAATTTTATACATTGTAGTTAATCTAGTATTTTTCTTCTTTCATGTAATGGTTCCCATCCATTTTCAAAGTATAGTGCATCTTTAGAAGCTAATAGAGTTAAAAGCTAATTTTTCACTATCGCCTACATTACATCCACCCCACACCAAGGAAGCATATTCTAATTGGTGTCTTAGAAAGATTTTGTACGTGAGTTTTCCGATTTACAACAAATCTGAGTTTTTTTTAATAAGCATCTTTGCAAATAAAACATTTTTGTTTAATTTTCTCAGAAAAAAATACCCCCCCAAAATCGTATAAAATAATTAATAGCTAATATCAGTCTTTCAATGCTGCAACCATAGTTTAAAAGGGATGTCTTAAAGATCTATTGAATAAAATTTTGATGTGGCATTCCTATTAAATCATGAAAAGGACTGGGGAAGGAGGTAGAAAACATATTAGAAATTCCATAACTGCAGTGCATGATTTGGAGACAAGCCAAGGCCATCCTTAAAAAAATGTTTGCTAACCCTCTCCCGACCGACTGGCTAAAATGGCCCGACTCAAATCTTTTTTTACCTCCAGAAAACAAAATATTTTTTTTCTTTTTGTCATCCGTCCACATGTATGTTGAAATTTTCTTGGGAAAAAAATTAACGCGTATCACATCTCATTTCTAAAGGTTTTTTAACATATTTTATTATATAATATTGTGAAAAAGTAGGGGGTCAGATTTCTATGGGGGTCATTTTTCAACGTGAGAGGAGTCGTAGACTTACCGGCCTGGAAGGGTTTTCTACGGTCTAAAAATGACCCTACTTGTCGTGGAATGTTGACCTAGGATCATTTTTCTACGTAGAAATTTTACCCCCTGGTCAATATTCTAAACGGGGGTCACTTTTCGCCGTTCAGCGGAAATGAGGGCGGGGGATATCTTTTTTGTTGCAGTTTATAGTTTCACTTTGGGAAAACTGGCATGCTTAAACATAACAGAAAGAGAAAAAAAATAAAAATCCAGATTACCTGTTTTTAAAGGGCTCAAACGATTCAGAAAGATAAGAGACACATTTTAAATGAGTCCAAAGTTAGTCTCATCGAAAAGTAACGTTGCTCGTTTGCGGTAGAAATTGTACTTCGTCAAGCGGATTCAGCTGCAAAAGTCAAGTTAGAGTTCTAATCTTTTTGTATGGATCCATTTACGATATTGTGATTTGGAATCAGCTGGACATGAAATTCTAAAGTCATGTAAACAAGAGGGAATTTGGTTAGTATTTAGGATCGTGTGCCTTGTCAAGAAAAGAGCATTGAGGAAAGGACATTATTGACTGTATTTTGAAAAAATTCAATGTCACCAGGTGATCATATAATGTCTTTTATATTTCATGATATATCAACGTATCAAGCTAAAATTTTCAACACTTTTAAAGCTTTTGTTAGGCCATCATTAAAAATATCTTTGTTTCTCCTAACCCGACCCTAGAATCTGAAGTTGGGTAGGTAGGTAGGTAAATATTTTTTTTCTTTCTGACAGCAGCTTTGAAAATACATTCTGAATTTCTGATAAGAACGGGTTTTGATGAAATTGTACTTTATAAAAGTTGATAAACATTAAAAAAAAATATTTGAATAATCTTCTTTAAAAAACTTTTAAGTCGGCGGGATTTAATTAGGTCGGTCGCGTTAGGGGAAACAAAGGTATTTTTTATTTAGGCCTTACGTTCTTTATAAATTTTGTCTACTTATATATGTAATTATTTTTATGGTGCCCGTTCACAAACTTTTTGGTAAGCCTTTGAACATATATTATTATTTTTTTTTTGGTTTTGTTGTTTTTTGCTTATAAATAACTTAAGCCAAAGGCTCAAGTCAGGTTTTAACATTCTTTTATTTATTCATTTGTGTTTTGTTTTCGAGTCTTCTTTTTGTCTGTAAATTATGTCTCATGCGTTTTTATATACTGTATGCTGATTTCAATAAATTTATATTTGCTAAGAAACCGTTTATCTTGATTTTATCGTCAATTATTTGGAAAATAACAGACACCAGAATAAAAACCTCTGAAGTCTCTGTTTTTATTATAAACCTAACCAGAAGTTAATGTATCGAACTCGGGGGGGGGGATACAGGGGGGAGGGGACAGGGGGCCGTATTGACAAAAACACTTAACTTTAAGTTTGATTTGGGACCATTGCCTCATTATCATGAAAATGATTATTTGTTATTATGACCTTCATTCGATCAATGACATACTCCTAAACATTTCTCATCTCATTATAATGAAATAATTTGATGAGTACACTGTAAATCTATATAGTATCCCGCCTGAAGGTTGTATGTTAATGTGCTTCTCGGATGAAATGAAATAAACAGAGCTAATGTGTGTCGTAAAAGATAGTTCATTAGCTAGATTGAAATAAAGTGCTAATAATTGCTAAAATTAAATTTTTCATTGTCTCATCAAATTTTCGCCTGACGGCATGAAGTTCTTCATGGATAAAAATTGATATTCATCAAATACATGTAGAACTGGATACGAGTCAATAATTTATGATATTGTGTTTATACGTGTTTATATTTTAGCTATGGTCTTTTATTTTTATCTTTTTAAAAAGGTTACAGTATAGCATACATGTGGTCGAGATACTGCAGATAGAGTTACATGTATACTTTTCAATACAGGTTATTTTTACGAAATTATTTTTATACTCTCTAAAATATAATTTCTTTTAAAAATACTTTGCTTTAAAAGAGCCATCAATGGTAAGATTTTAGCATATATTCACTTTTTTACGTATATTTTTGCGTATTTATACGTGTCTTATCATTGCATTGACCTCGTTTGCAAATACATGCTGTTAGGTAGAATTAATGTTGCAATGGCTAACATTCTTTATACAAAATGCTAGATAATTGTTTTCATACTAATTATTATACAAATAACTTCGTTTACATGAAGAAAAATAAAGGCACAAGGTAGTTGTGACCTGTTGACAGGGGATGCTTACTCCTTCTTGGTTCTCAAGTTCTCAAGTTCTTTATTTCTTTGCGTCATACGACACATCAGATTACATATATAAACATATATACAATATTGTAAAATATAACAATATGAGAGTGAGCATAATCAATAAATAGCAAGTAAACTATGTAGGACGTGTTTTCTAACAGGCAACTGCTATTTTCAGGGGGTCCGTGTTATTCAATCTGTACTATATTTCATTAAATGAGTTTATGTTCCTCTTAAAAACTAAATAATTAATGAAAGATAACTACACGTATTAAGTAATGACCAGTCATAATTACGCCTCGTGGTCTGTTTAGTCATTGTGTTGGATTTTTTTCTCGTTGTGTAAGCATTTAAACAGTATCGCAAGTTTTTGTTTCTTTTAATTGGAATGCATTTTTATGTAATAAATGCATGATTACAAAAGTTCCATCATTAAGCCACAAAAAGAGTTTATTATTGTCGTAAAATAATGTTTTGTTTGAATTTGAGTTACACGTGTAAGCAAACATAATGCCAAGGATAAGTAGATGTAAGACATTATTTTGTAACTTTGATTGCTTGCTTGGTTGAATAATTCAGTGATTGTGTTTATTTTTTTTCTTTCTTACAAGAGTGGCGCGGTGTATCTAGCTTTTCATTGGACAAATATGCAACCCTTATTTTGGATGGTACATGAGGCTGTATTAAGCCCCCCCCCCCCCCCTCCTAATCTCGGTGGAGATTCGGCTCGGCTAAATATTTGGTCTGACGCCCACCAAATCTCGGGACAGTCCTTCATAATTCACATCTGGAAATTCAGTCCCAACTTCGGCCGGCTATATCAAGAATTATTCACCTAGGCGACACTATCGCTCGCTTCAGTTAAGTCATTTACATGTAGTTGTTTAACTCTCTGTCGCTATTATTTTCACATTGCTTACCGTCTAGGCATGTAAATCCCAACATAAAAACATTCACTAAAATCTCCGTTCAAAAAATGGCTCCCCTGACGTAATTGTTTATCTCCTCGCACTGAAGAGTTCCTAAAGTCTGTTTTCTTTTATGTAATATTGAACCTCCACTGTGGCTTTTAAGTATTTTTCATAGAAATGATAACAGACCATAGAGGAACTCTTTAGTGCAAGGAGATTGTCGCCTAGGTGAATAATTCTTGATATATAGCCGGCCGAAGTTGGGGCTGAATTTCCAGACGTGGATTATGAAGGACTGTCCCGAGATTCGGTGGGCGTCAGACCAAATATCTAGCCGAGCCGAATCTCCACCGAGATTACCCCCCCCCCCTCTCGAATCCGCGATTTCTCGAAGTTTTTTTTCTCGGTTCCATTGAGTTTGAGACAACGAGGTTTGACTCACTCTCTCTCTATTAATCTATCCATTTGTGTGTGAGGGTGTGTGTGTTAAATTCGATCCCTTTCTGTGACCCATCCTACCCAAGAGGTATTTCTTGACGATGCTTGCATATAAATTTCACTAATCATTACCTACATGTAGTTATTTTTGAGAAGATAATTCAAAAACATTCTGTGCATTCTCATGTAAAACTAATTCCCTATTGTGGCCCAAACAATCTGTCCTCGACCATATTTTGAAAAGATTTTAATTTTCACATTAAAAAAAAAGAAATCACATAAAATTTGTCTTCTTTGACCAGATGGTTCTCGAGGAAAAGTTTTATTGAATGATACCACTCAGTTTTGACTATTTCTTAATTGACGCCCTTTGAAAAAAGTGTACATATATGACCCTTCATTTGTGACAAGTTTGGTTGTACTGTTGCACTGGTTACACTTTAAACACACGAAATAAGGAATTTCAAAATGAGGAAATGTAGAATTATGTAACAAAGTTGACTCTCTGTCATCACATAACATTGCTATACACACTGTACGAAGCAAGCACCAATGCGAGAACCAATAGATGTGCGATCGATTCACGGTTGTGTTAAATAGTGATTCTTCAATTCTTGATCCATACCTTCAGCGCTGGAAATGATGCACTCAAGTCTAGTCATAGGCGCTCTTACTGTTCTGATAAATTTGGATCGTGTTAGGAGCAAAGTTCCCCTTTACGTGGGAGGAATCCTCGGATCTAGCGATGATTCTTGGTCTAAATATGCCAACTTTTATAACATACTTTTTAAAGTTGCATTTGAAGAAATAAATAAGACAGATATTCTACCGAATCATGAACTTGTATTTGTGTCAAAGAACTCCAAGGTAAGATAATTTTATTTCTTCAGCTTTTATTTTAAAAATAGTACAGTCATTTTATTGTGCAAAATGGAAATAAAGTTTTGGTGAAGCACACAAGATTCGAAGAAACATAGGTAGATTAGATAGTAGTTAAAATCGTATTTACATCTTACAATATAATGGGAGCATTGGAAGGAATTAAGGTTGCCGTTAGATTTGGTCAGCAAGGCTTGAAAACTATTTTTTCTTATAGGAAACGCAACTGGTCACTTGCATATAATAAGAAATGGCATATAAGAATTTGGGTCATTTGGGAAATTTACATCATTTGGTATTGCAGAGAAATAACATGATTTTTTTCTGTTTGAAATGTACGGCAGCTTTGTATGTTAATTTTGATAATACTTTTTAAATCATTGTGATATATTATAGTTATAATAGGTTATAGATATACATTTAAAAGGATGTAATAACAGTCATGGGCTACATCTTTACCATTTCTAGGCAAATTTCTGCAATTGTTGTCTTTTGGGGTGATAACAATTGTCCTCAGGATTTTTCCCTCGAACGTATTTGTATTGTATATCAACAAACAATATCGATTGGGTTAGAGTTTCAGAACTTAAGACGTCATCCATTTCTTTTCCCGTATACATGTACGAATATGTCGGAATGTGTATCGAAATGACCATGAAGAAATAAATAATGATTAAGTACAGCAATCTTGGTGATTAAAAAAAAATCATGAATTCTAGTAACCAATTTTGAAATAAGAACTGAAAATATACTATAGGATTAACTATTCTTATCTATATTTGGTACATGTACATACATTAGAAGTTTTTGAAAATTGATCATTGGAAAGTCAGATGGGTCGTATTTACTGTGCATTTACAAATATCGTGCAAAAGATGCATCAATTGTAAATTAAAAAAAAAAGAAAAGGAAATATGAGAAGGTCACTCTATTATTTTGTGTTTATGTTGTCGATCGGCATAGAAAAACAGACCAATCCAAATGTAAATATTTTGTCAGTTTCAATTGAATGCGGAATATTCAGTACGTATTGGGTGACTGACAATGCAGGGAGGAATGCGACTTGTAATGATGAAAGACATCTTTACTGAGATTTTCCACGCAATAAAATACAAGAAATGCGAAGTTTATTTTGGTTGATATACTATGCTCAGTATTCGGTAACTTTCTTTAGTTCATTTTTTTTTATATTAGCATACTGTTCCTTCATCTATTAATTGCTTTGCACATTCTTAATTCGATATTTTCAGTTTTGAATTTATAATTTATATATAAAAATGGTTATTAAATGTTATTTATGTTCAAAAATTTCATAATTTAAAACCCAGATACATTGTATAAGTTTGAATATTTCAAAGGATCAGATAAAGAGTACAGTGAACATGTCTTCTGTTCAGCTATAATTATAATACGCAGTGTAATGTTGGATATTAAACACATTAATTTAATTGACATCGATCACCCCAAAATCTTCGAACTGTCAGTGATCAAAGTTGCTTATTTCCACTATTTCCAAGTTAATGGTCTTATTTTGACCAAGGTGTTAATTTGTTATTTAGAGCATGTTCTAAATCATGGTTCTGGCATTTATTGTTCTGTATAAAAGATATGGACAAATTAAAGGGCATCTCGAAGTAGTGCACATTGAATGTCGTGGTCTTAATTGTTGCATGGTAAATTAGTTGTGCGATATATCCTGGAATTGATTCGACCATAAGATTTACCGTTTAAAAGTGCAAATAAAACGTCTATGGAAAAGTATCATGTTGTAAATTTTGAATTTACTAGGGGGAGGTAAATGCAAAATTTACAACATGATAGTTATCATGTTGTAAATTTTGCATTTACCTCCCCCTAGTAAATTCAAAATTTACAACATGATAAAAGTACAACTTCTTGTGTTTCTCTGTAACTGGGAACAACAATACATAACAATATGTAATAATGATAAAACAAAAGGGATGATAAAAGCTGCAAAATGCGATGAAATGTCTTGTTTTCTCCAAGTCTTCTTTTAATTACTTTTAAGTACAAAAAAAATCAAGATTTCCCCCCACAGATGTTACAGGGAAAAATTCATTCAATTACATTACAGAATGTTTGCTTAGATATTGTTTACAGAAATTCGCTCGAGTCTAATAGCTTCTAATACCAAAGGAATTTAGTAAAATATACAGTTAGTGAAGGGGGGATAAAAACATTGATTTTCCTACCAGGTTAGCAGAATGATTTCTTACATTTCTATTAAATTAGTATGTATATATCCTTCCAACGTTTTGGACAATAAATAAATGTTCTGGTTTTCTTATTGTAAGCTTTCATATGCTTTTAACTTCAGAATTTTCCTGTTTCCCTTTTATTTCATAATATAACGATTTTATTTTAATTTATTTTGTTTACTTCAAAATAGAGTTTGTAAGGAGACCATCTGAAAATAAAAGGCAGTCATGATTACTAAGAAACAAAAGAAACTCTCCAGTATGTAAAAAAAAAGTAAAAAAAAAAATCATCGGGAAAAAAATTAATAAAAGCATGCTACATGCTACAATTGACATAATTTTAGGCGATTAATAACATAACAGCATGTTATAAAAATATCTGAGAGGATGGAATGAACAAAACTAATTTTGCTTACTTGGTTGTTTTGAGATGTTATTTACTGGACACTTCTCCCTCACAAAGTACCATTTAAAGAGCATAAGAACATAAAATTTGCCACAATATTTTTAAAACCTTTAAAAAGTGACGTTACTTTTGCTAATGACTGTTTTCATCGACAACCTACGTAAGAACTTCATTATATACAGCTATCTCTCATATTTCCTGAAATAAATCCGATCTTTCCTGGTTGACAAGATGAAGCAGCAGTCTAATAAGAGACTGTAGCTCTACGTGATTAGAGTAAAAGGTTACGTGAAATGCTCGCAGTTCTTTAATATGTTAAAAGATTATGGTACCATTAGAATACACGTTACTTTGCTATTAAGCAAACAGGTATTCATACAAATTCAGTAACGCACATTTTCTCAGTTATAATTTTTTCATTCACAGAAAGGTTTCAAATGTATTATGTAAAGTACAAAACAGATACAACGCTTATACTTTAATTTTCTTGAACAATTTTATAATTTTACATAAAAATATTAATAATTGATAATGGACGAGACAAGTTCTGTTAGATTCCCTTTTAATAACATGTCCGCCTAGGGCAGAATGCTGGCTGGCGACTGACAGATGGCTAAAACGTCGGAATTTTGTTACTTGAATTCCGTTTTGGGAAATTTTATCGAACATTGTCATCTTATTTCTGAAATTGTGAAGAGGTACATATATGAACTGTGTTACCGATTAGTGTCTTCTCAATGTAATACAGCTGAAACTGATATTTTTAATAAGTTTGAGAGTATTGGGTTTTAAACAAACAAGTGGTATACATGTATATACAAATGTAGAATGATGCTTAGAATGCCATTTAGAAGATTATTGTGGTCTATACGAGTTCATCGCCATTCATATGTATGTCGTCTCTATACTTGAAACTGCAAACGTTCTGCTCTCTGTAAGCACTTTGTTAATTATGATTATACATCACCTACGTAGATAAGATTTGTTAAAAAAGAATTGTAGGACCTTTACTTTAAGAAAAAAAAAATTTAAATAACAATTTTATATGGTTATTAAATGTATATTCTAAAATAGAGATTTGTCGATATAAAGAGGTTTGTGGATTTATAATAAAGTGTAGACTCAAGTCTTTATTTGTAACCCATAGAACCAGATAGATGCCACAAAAAGGCATTCATAGTTTAACACAAATCCATGCATGTGACAAAATGTGTTCTTATTCTCAATTCACAACATCAGATGTGCAATAACCATTTCATAGCAATAGAAATACGTTGTCAATTACATTACAATACAAGACAAACAAAATCAGTTTCAATATCCATTGTTTATCAATGTACACCTTCTCTTCACAATTCCAAACTTTGATTGGCCACTAACATAGTCTGAAAGGTTTATCATCTGCGAAGTATTAACTTCTGAGAACTGCTTATTCAGCATGTTCACTGGGAAAGACATTAACATTATTAATTAAAATAACATTATAAAAAATTAACATTTTTTAAAAAAAATTAAAGTTTATATTAAATATTTAAATAAAAAGTTAATAAATAGATCTTTAACTTATAAATTAGAATCAAACTAACAAGATACAATGGAAATTTATTTATTGTACATTGTAAACTGCAAAGAAATTATTTTAGAGACTTATATAGAATTGTAATTTTCCATCAATCTGAACGTTTGTGTGTGCGACTTAACTCGCAATATCGTTATATTTTTTCTATTGTAACTATCACGTTTTTGTTACACTAAGTTCATTAATGGAATTTTACATTATGCAATGGGTTTAACCAAGAGACGGATTCTTTGTACCACTATTGTAGAATAAATTTTTGCAATGTCTTATTCCTAAAAAAAACCTTATCAGTCCATCTACAAAAGCAGGTTGATGTTTTCTAGACAGGACACTAACATATTTACAACTCTAGCTACTACTGCATGCAGTGGCTATGATGTAAAAATATATTTAGATGTCATTAAGTAAAGAAACTCGATTTAACTTATTTTACTCTGTAGAATGAATTTGATAAAAACTATAAAATGTTGAAAATATTAGAATAGATATCTGATGATGATAAAAAATGAGATCACGGATTGGTTTTTGTTATTATGTATATTGTTCGCATATATCCCATAGTTTTACGAACTATATAAAAACATAGATGTATGTAGGACGAAATATATTACATGTACATGATTATTACAGTCTTAACAAAGCAATTTTCATAAGACGTAAAAATAAACATATTAAAATTTTATCAGTTTCAGCATGTATTTATGTAGTCTTCCCTTTGTAATTTAAATCATGTTAAACCTCTTCAAACTATAAAAAGGTTTACACCCCCCCCCCTCACACACAC